CACATAGCAAAAAAGTTTATGTCTCACGGTTCTGGGCACCAGGAAGTCCCCAGGTCACGGAGCCACAGATGCCGCGCACGCGGCAAGAGCAGCTCTCTGCCCCAGGCGCGCACCACCTAACCGTGTCCTCGCCAGGGAAGGGGACAGCTGTCTCAGCTCTCTGGGAAGGCACGAGTTACCCCTGAAGGGCCAGCTCTTCCGCTGGTCAGATTTGATTTCAACACACAGAACGCTTGGGCGCCAACCCGCAGGCCTCTCTGCCTGCTCACCCACTGGGGGGTCGACCCTGGCGCAGTTCCCGCCCGTGGAGCCCACGGGGGAGCTCTCGGCCGGCTCCTCAGGCACGCGCTCTGGGCAGCAGTGCTGAGCTGGGTTCTGAAGGCCCTGGGAAGCCACCCCTCCAGCCTCTGGTCTCGGCCTCTGTCCTCTGAATGCCTGTGTCACCGAGGGCCTGACCTCCCTCTAGACCTGCTCACAGGGCTGCCCAGGGTCGCTTCCTTTGTTCCCTCTGCAGAGATGGAGCTGCACCCACCCCTGCGAATCTCAGCACCACACCTTAGGAGCTGGGTGACTCTCAGAGCTATGCTGCCCCCTCGGCGCCCCTCCCAGGCCCTCAGCCCGGCGCCTGAGCGGCAGGTGCTCCCTGCCAGGCTGTGAGGACGACATGCGTTTACTTGCAGGGTGTTCAGCTGAGCGGCTGGCACAGAGATAGGACTGCAAACACTAGCTGGGATTCGTTGTGGTGAGGCATTCGGCCCTGATGAGAGTCCCGTTGGCCTGAAGGGCCCGTGCATGGGGCGTGAGGCGGCAGTGGCCACACCTGCGTCAGGACCAGCACCGGACACCACACACGTACCCTTCTTCCAAGGAAGTGTCTGTCCTTACCGATCAGAAGCCGGTGTTAATTCAGCCAAGCTTTCTTCCCGGAAGAGTACAGGACAGGCCCCGGCAGGCCCACGCTGTCGTGGGCTGGCTCTGCCCTGCCCTGAGTGCTGTGTTTCTTCGCAGAAGCTCTGGGTTATGGGTGCGCATATCTTACTCCTCTCCCCACAGGCTGCGTCCGGTTCCGTGTGCAGCTGAGGAGGACACGCGGGGTCCCAGTGACTCTCATCACAGCCGCAGCAGACCCAGGCGCAGACCCTGCCCAGCTTGGCGGGCATCTCCCGCTCCACGCGCGGAAGCCAGGAGAGGTGCCACGGGGTCCGGGGTCAGCTCTCCGCTCTGGGCTCCCAGTTCAGTGCACAGAGAAGGCGGCCCTCAGACCTGCGGCAACCTTCCCCGTGCTTAGAAAGCACCACTTGTCTGTGAGCTGCCGTGCTTCTCCCTGGGACGGTCCCACTGGGTCTCTAGGTGATCACGGTGCACACCTGGCCCTGACCTCCCCGTGACCTCTGCCTGCAGGCCCCTCTGCTGACCATCACATCCGTGACGGCCCGCACCGGACGACCACGCCCAACACCGCCACACGCAGGGACGGACGTCTCCTTGGCGACTCCTCCCGGCTCCTGTCCTGGGACGGGCAGCGGCTGGACGTGCTGGGAACACAGGCAGGTGGAGGTCACCTGTGCGCTGACCCCAGTGGCCTGGACTCCTAGAGGAGGGACAGGGTGGGCCCCTTGTCCGGCTGACAAGAGTCTCCAGACGGGACTTGGCAGGCCCACGCTGTCCAGGCTCACTCTGCTCGCCCCGAGTGCAGTCTGCGAAGGGGCACCTGCGCCCACACTGGGGCCCCACCTCCTGCGGGAGATGCTGCCCGGGCCCCTCCCACAGCCGTCATCTCAGCCTCTCAAGCACAGGCACGCACACGCGTGTGGCTCCGGCCCTCTCACCTCCTCTCTGCACCGGTCCTAGCACACCTTGTTCCTCGTGCTCAGAGTCCCTCGCCCTCCCGGGTTACACTGCAGGGGGCCTGTCCTGTCCTGTCCTCCTCCCACCAGCCCAGCAGGAGGCGCTCACACCTGTGCCAGGCAGCAGGTTCGCTTCTGTTCCCTAGAACTGTGCTCTCAGAGCCCCCTCAGCACAGAGCCCAGGCGAGGCCCCGACACTGACACAGTGCGTGTGTGTGCGTGTGCACGTGTGTCATTGTGGGACTCTGAGGCCCAGGAGCCCCTGGGGCCGCCAGGCCTGGATCCGCAGGCAAGGCTTCCCCACAGCGTCCCAGACATGGTGCCGGTGAGGGGTTTGCAACAGCGGAGGAACTGAGTCCAGTGCGGCCAGACTCAAGGGCCGCCATGGTCTCTGCACTGGGACCTGGGCCGTGAGCCCTGTTGCTGTTTACGGGCAGAGCCGCCAGAGCAGCGCCTTCTCCACCCAGGTCGGAACGCTGGCACCCGGGGGTCGGCCCTACGGCGTCCTTCCTGGGCAGGACCTGGAGCTGACATCCTGGTTCAGGGGGAAATACAGAACACTGACAGACAGAGAACAGGGAATATAACCTACTTTCTTTTCATCTCTGTGTTTTCTCAGAAACAGGAGGATGGGCACGGAAACGGGCACGGGAACGCGTGCTCCTCCTCTGCCGGCGATGGATGAAAACGGCTGCGTCTGCCTCTGTGAGGTCCGTCTGGGGTCTGCCTACCCTGTCTGGCAGCGGCCATGATCACCACAATGTTAGGGGGGGAAAAAAAAGCGTCTAATGTATTCCCCTGCTCTCTGGGGCCTCGCAGATGCCAGAAATAAACGTACAGAAGAACGAGCTCTGTCTTAGTTACTTTTGTTGCTGAGAGGAAGTACCTGACACCTAACGTGAAAGGGGGAAAGGTTTATTTAGCTCACAGTCTGCAGAGGTTTCAGTCCATAGTTGGTTGGCTCTGAGGCAGGGACAGGCGTCACAGGGGGAAACATTCCTAGTAGGCAGAAGGTAGCAAAGCAAATAAGCAAGGGACAAGACAATCCTCCTTCTGTCCCTTATGTTGTATCCAGGCTACGGATTCGGGCCGTGCCAATCCAATCAGCGGACTGATTTAGTAACCACTCACCCTAAATCCCAGCACTCTTAATCCTAGCATAGTACCATGAATCAATCACACATTCTAGGTTCAGCCACGTCTGAGAAAGGCCCACGCAGCTTTGGGGACATCTAGACACAAGCCACAACAAGCACATCAACACAGCACATGACCTCAGCTGCCTGCATTCCAAAGTTTCCTGCCACTTCCCTAACCTTGCCCACCTACTCTGGTCAGCCCCAGGGTCCCCCAGTCCAAGGCTTGGGCCAGAATGAATGAGATTTCCGGCTACTGCTGCCAGTTCTGAATCCCCAGGCCAAGCGTTTGTGCTGAGCTACCCTTAACCAAGGAGACTTAGAGTGTGGGGCATGGGCTGCTGGTGTTTCCTCAGCCCAAGGAAGTTTACTAGGGAGTGCTCTTGGGGCCACAACAGCTGGGCAAGGAGAGGCAGAAACAGGACCCCATGGGGGAGGACACCAGCCTGAGGCAGTCCCCAGGTGTCCCCAGGGAGAGTGGATCCCCAAGGTCCTGCTGCTCACCTTTCAAGCAGGGCAGGGGGCACCTGAGGAAGGCGACTTGCCCAGGGTAGTGGGTCCCTTCCTCCCAAAGCACAGCCTCCACACTCCCAGGGGGGCTTAAGCTGCCTCGTGGTGGCCTCTTGCCCCTCCAGGACAGGAGCCAACTCTCCCTACCCACTTATCCCTCAGAGCCAGAGACAGTGCCCGGCACCCAGGAGGTTTGCAATAAACACCTGCTCAGGAAACGCACCGCCAAACACTGAATATCAGCATACAGCATGAATAAAACACCTCATAATTAAAGAAAAGCTGTCTCCAGTGAGCTCAGTGTGATCAGAACAAGAGAACCAAGCAGAAATGCCAGCTGGGGTAAAAAGCCCAGGCTGACACCGAGAACCTGGCCTGTGATCGCAGCTGTGGGCACAGCCCCGGGTCAGCCTCGGCGTCTCCCTGGAGGAATCAAAGGGCAGACACGGGCTCATGGAGGATACAAGCAGTTCCCCAGCTGTTAACTGGGGTCTTCGTCGTGTCATTATTGAGCTTAATGAGGAAAGTTAACTTTGACGCTGGTGACAGAGGAGTCCTGAGGTCACAGCGTCATTGCTGTGGCTGCCTGGGGACTTTTCTCCCTGAGTCCAGAGCTAAGAAGACCCCAGGGAGATGCAGGCAGTGACCCAGGGAGGCCAGGATGGACAGGAAGCCAAGAGGAATATCCTGCGATTTATGAAAATTGGGAAGTGGCATTTCACCCTGGTAAGATAAGGAGCTAAGACACAGGAGCCAGAGTGCAATTTGTAAAACAAGTAGAGTAAGAAGAAAAACATCTCACTACCAAGTGTCACTCCCACTGTATTTGTCCAACATAGGGAAGACTTTTTAAAACAATGCAGTTGCTAAGGAAAACACTTATAAGAGATTTATTTTTTAATAGTCTGAACAACTTTCTGAAAACCTGGGCATGCCAGGCTCCAATCCACCGATGGGTTCAGGATTTCCCATGGGACGCTGTCATGCACCTTGTGGCAGTGACAAATGCTTCAGCAAGGGCCAAGAACTGTCCCATAGAGCCACACGCAGGTACCTCAGTGAAACAACAACCCGAAATGCTAATGAATGCGAGAGCCAAAGCACATTTCCAACACGCCAAAATCAATACCCATTTCTCCTGCCTCAGAGGCGTTCTTGGCAACCACAGTATTACGTTTGATAAAAAGAGAAAACCAATAAATGCACACAAGTGTCCAACACTCAGGTATACGCAAACAAAATATACACATTTGACATTTACTGGCTACAAAGTACCCTCAGCTGGGTTCTCCATTGAACAGAGATCTTACCCCTTCATTCACTGCAGAAATACAAATTCTACTTTCTCTCTGACATGCTTCAAATTGAAGCAGAGTTGGTGTTTAATTATATTGTAATTCCCTACCAACTTTTCCTCATTCAGGCTGAACACATCTTTAAAAAATGCACAACTGTCACAGCTGGCACACTGACCCGACAAAGACCCGGGAAAGTGAGCTGCCCTCACCTTTGAACTTGTGGAACACGGCCCACAGCTCCGCGACGTCGGTGGCGAAGGTGATGTCGGTGTCCAGGACGATGACCCGCTCCAGGGTGGCGGGGAGCGTCTTGGTGAGGACGAGCTTCATGAGGCCGTAGATCCCAGAGTAGTGCTTGTTGGGGATCCAGGACACTTCCGACTGCACGGGCAGGGCGGAGAGGGAGCGGAGAGAAAGGGAATCGCTGTGTTAATCTCCGCTAACGCGTCACACAACACGTCTGGGACCTAAAAAGTACCCAGCACACGTGTGTTGAATAAATGACTGAGATTTCTCTCAAGGATTTGTTCATGTGAAGTGTTTTGGAAGAAAATATATCTGAATCAAGAGAGAAGAAAAGTAATGTTATGAAATAATTATTACACACAAGCAATACTCAAGCTGCAATTTAAAAAATTGTTATTAGAGAAACTGTACAGGTCCACTGGAGAAAAATAGATACGCAAAAGGATGACCTCAAGGTACAAAAGTTGAATCACACTGTACGCTCTTTCTACAACCCATACCTACGTGTTCCCAGGGGGTGTATTTCTTTAAGTGATAGTCCATTTCTGTCGCCAGGGACGGCAGAGATTCCTCGTTTAATGAGAGAGCTCCATCTGTGACTAGGTTGTTAAACGACTGGTCACTAAATGAGGAGTGTATATTGTGTATACGTTACAACATTCAGACAAAGAAACAGGCAAAGGAAACTCCACCTCAGCGGCTTTGCTTTCCTTTGCCCGACTCACAGGCAGCTCTGTGATGCAGAACAGAACACAGAACGGCAGGGCTGTGCCGGGCAGCACCGTCAGCAAAGACTGCAGGGCCGGGCTGTAGGAGCCACCACGAAGGCCAGGCACATTCCCGCGTCTAAGGCCAAACGTGTGTCATAAGTCCACGTCCGAGCGGCAGGATGTAAGTCTGAACAGTCGTTAAGGTAGGTCATTCAGCAAGGAGCACCTGTACCATTACTGGCATTTTTCTACGTACGCTTTTCTATACCCGCAAAGCTGTGTTGGATAGGCTAGCGCTTCAGCTGTCTTTTTGTTCTGAGACAAATGCACAAGGAGGGCCCTGTCATAACCCATGTGCCGCTCTCCCCCTGACAGAACAGGGTCACGAAGAAGAGTATTAAAGGACCCTCCAGGATGTCCACAGTGTGACCCTAACGGCCCCTAAAAGAACATCAAAGAGCCACAGGCGGCTGGGGTCGGCAGGAAGGCCTGTTTCCGTACCACGGGGGATCTATGCAGAAGACTAAACACAAGGCATACCCAGGGGGACGACGCCTCCCGCGCACAGGGTCGCTTCTGCAGGCCGTGATGCGCAGGGGAGGACCCAGAGTCCAGGGAGCCAAAGCACACATCTCGTTTCCAAGATGGGAAACTTGCAGCAGACCCATTCGTGGGAATGAGGTCACCGCTCGGGATCCAAAACCTCACCCATCTCCTTTGTCCTTATCACTCCCTTTAGAGGACGACGTTCTTTAAGAAAAAATAAATAAATCGAATTTAAAGACAAAAACCCCCAACTCTTATTCTCAAAGGCACTCATCGTCATGTTGTGGAGGTAAAGAAATGGCAACCGTCCCAAAGTCTCCAAGTGGAGCAGTTAATTAGAACGCGACCCGTGGTCATCACATAGTACAGTGTGCCATGGCTTGAAACAGCGTAGATTAAGATACAGTTTAAAGCAGTGCTGTACGTGATAGTGAAAGAAACAAGCAAGCTAAAGCTTTTAGAAACCACGGTGGTGTTGCTCCTCAGCACAGAACCACATGCCACCGACAGATGTGGAGAAGGACACCCAGCTACAACGGACACACGTCTGTGAGTGAGTGGTGATTTCCCACTCCTGAGCCTGAGCAATCCCTACTGCTGTGCGGGCAAACTAAACACTCCATTCGTTCTAAAAGGGTCAGGGCCCAGCGGGCCGGAGCATGGGACCAAGGGGCCACCTTAGCATGCAAGGAGAAAGGCCCACGCCGCCTCATTCCTCCCCCTTGTTGAAAACATCACTTTGGTGCCTTCCTGCTCTCAGCTTTGCAATGGGCCTTTGCTTAAAGGAGCACAATTCTGACCAGAAATAAAGGGAACGTTCTGATGGGCTGAGTGGTTTGCTGTGGGTCCATCCCAAGGACAAGAACGACCAACTCTGCATCTGCCACCCCTGCCACCTCGCATCGGGGCAGCAGGGAGGAGGGGAATGACATGGGGTCAGGTCTGGGCCCAACCTGCAAAGCTGTCTGGAGTCTCCAAGCCTTAGGTGCCCCATCTGTAGACGAAAGTGGCGCCTATACCACACACAGAGGATAGGATTCCAGCGGCTGCTGGTCCGTGAGAGACACCAAGGAAACAAGACTACAACCCCACCCTCATCTGCTTCCCTCCCCCCGTCCTGGCACTTGGGCATCCTCACCATGGCACCTTGGACAAGTTTCTCAGCCTCTCTGAGCTTCTGCCATGGACAAGAGGTGGGTCCTCCACAGAGCCCCTTCATCCCACGAGGGCGTAGAGGAAGCTGAGAGCCCACCCAGGACATTAGCGGTCATTCAGGAACAGGAGTGCTCACCGCCCTGTGCCCGGAATCAGGGAAGGACAATGCAGAGGGCACGCTACGGACTACAAAGCAGGGTGGCCACGGTGGGGACCAGAGAGTGCGGCCATCTCACCTGGCGAGAGCGCAGAGATGGGGCCCATCTGTGGCAGTGCAGGACGCGGCTGGGAGCCACAGCCCACTTCCTTCCCCTCCAGCCCGCAGAGCTCCTGGAAGCTGCCTTTTTTTGGCCAGTACAGGGGGAAGCAGAGGGAAGGTGATGAGCCCTCTACCCATCAGCCTCAGGGGCAGGGTGAGGGTGGGCAGGACCCGCAGGACAAATTTACCACCACCAGCATAGTCACGCTGCTAACGCAGGAACGGAAACTGAACACGTGGCAAAAGCAGAGCCCAAACCTCCCCTGCACCAGGTGCAGACGTACACCTGGGAGGACGAGGTCTGTCTGCAGCCGGAGCTGGAGCAGCTTCACAGGGGGTTCGTGCCTGCCTCCAATCCCCGACACCCTTCTCGGAGAGCTGGTTCCTGGTGAGCCTTCCCCAAAGGTCTGAGAATGCAGCCCGCTTCATACCACCCTCCTCCTACAGGCCCGGCCCTGGTGTCAGCTCCACTCTCCCCCCTACAGACTCCGCCTGGACAGAAGCCTGGCAATCAGCGGTCCGCACGGCAGAGCCGTGCTATCTAATCAGACCTTTGATTAACTTATTCTTCTATTTTGGTAACCATCAAAGCAGGAGAGCTTGGTGGAGTCGGAACACTAGCGCGCTGGGTTAAGCCATCTAATTAGATTGCCCTGGTGCTCAGCTTTATTTTTAACTCGCATGTGAGGCAGGCGGGTGCATCCTGAAACAGGAGGACGACAGGAATAAATTAATCTCAACATGAGCCCGGGCCCGAGGTTGCCCTAGTCCCAACTTAATCCATAATCAATTAATTCCAAGCATTCACTTCGAGGTAAGGGAAGCGTTGCGGTGAGTTTGTTCTCAGAGAGCCCTGGGAGAGGGCATAAAACCGAGGGAACTCTGGGGGAGGCTGTGGGAAAAGCAGATACATTTGTCTGAAGCGCCCCTCGTGGGGGAGCGGGTGGCTCCTCCTCTGCTCTTGTCCACCGTGTCCACATTCTGCTCCTCCCCTAAGTCTCAACTGAAGTCGCCCTCTCCGGTCACTTCCCCACGTCCTCAGGCGGCTGGGCTCCAGAAGAGGCTGTCTCCCCCGACCGGCCCAGCGGGCTACCATGCTGTGTAAGTGTCCATGTCTCTCTGGCCGGAACTCCTTGAGGCAGCAGCAGTGACTGTTTTCAAGAGCAGATGATGGATGTGCCTGAGCCTGGAGCCATAGGCCTGGGCCCAAGTCCCACCTGTGGCATCATGGCCAGCTGGCAGCAGCAGCCCGTGCTTGCTGAGGGCCAGAGGGAGACACTCGGGGGAGAGACGTGCTGTTGAGCCCCGCAGCCCTGGGACCCCAGCCATCACTTCCCTCTGTGAGCCTTCGCGTATGTCTTCTCATCTAAGGAGTGAGAGCTTCCAACCGTGACTTCCCAACACCCCTGGAAGGCTGCAAGGCATCTGGTCTAGTGCTGGGCATGCGGTTAGGGTAGGATCTAGAATGTGCCCCAAGCCTCCTTGCTCAGAGGTGGGGTTTGGAAGCGACTGCACGCTGGGGGCCTGGGCTCACCGCTGACTCCCACCTGACTGACTTGCTGCGAGCAGGTGCGGCTGACAGAGCTGGTCCCTGGGCATGGCCGGAAGGGTCCCCACCTCTCCCTTCACCTCTGCTTCCTGGCTGCCAGGAGGTGGCAGTCCACTCCACCAGGCCCTTCCTGCCCTACAGCCAGGCGACCACCCACTGAATCTGCCCAAAATCCACCAGTCCAAGTAACCCCTCCTGCTTGCAGTGCAGGCGCTGGCTGTGTCCTGGGGATGAGAAGGTGGCCAAGACACGAAGCACCCCCCCAAGCACGCCCTTACCCAGTGTGTGTCTGCCAGGAGCGCTGGAGCTCAGCTGCTTGGGTTTTTGGGTTTGATAAACGCAAGGGATTATGCAGTGTAGGACAGTAAAGGGGTCAGGGTTAGGGTTTCTGCACAGAGGGTTTGCAGGGGTACACTAGAAACCGCTGGCAATGTGGAGCCCCTGGGGAGGTATCCCAGCCCTAGCACCTTCTGGGTGTCAGAAGAGGAAATGGGTGGGTGGGGCTCCTTCAAAGCCTGTCTCGGTGGGCGGTGGCTTGGTGTAATCTCACGGGCACTGATTTCCCTGAGCCCAGCACCCAGCGCCAGTCCACCCAGGGCCATGCAGGGGGCACTGGGCAGGGAGCTGAGGGGCACTCTATAGGAGGGAGCTGAAGAGCCCGAGGCACTGCGCTGCCTCCCCGAGCACATCCTGGAGAGACGGCAGCTCATGGCGGAGCAACACCTACCCTGCTCGTCATCACCATAAATATGCCACAGGGTTCGTGTAATTACAAAGATCATAAAAACGAAAGTCAGGCTCATCTGAATGGACAGACTATTATCCATGCAATGGCTGTTAATAATTCTAAGCAGCATGGTTGAAGCTTTAATTAGCAGAAATGCAACTGTGCCCAAGTTTACCACCTCCCACACTTAGGTAAAGGAGCATAAGCAACTCATAAGGGCGTTCCTGTAAAGCAGGGGGAGGTGCCTGCAAAGGGAAATTCACCTTCCTGAGGCCAACGGCTCCATGATGGGCACTTGGCAGCCTTTCCGCACAGCACAGCAAGTGGTTTTAGGGTGTCTGATGCTGTGTCCCATGAAAGTGGCACAGAAAACATGAGCAGAGTGGTGACAGGACACAGGGATGGAGGACGCTGGAGAACCCATGGTGACGGGACGCCCCCAACCACTGATACAAAGGGCCGACAGGCAAAGGCTGCTTGAGCAGCAAGTGACTCTGTTGTTCTCCAAAGATGCTGCCTGTCACTGGGATGCCCAGCGCCCAGGGAGGAGGACAGCAGGACACACCACTCGGACCGGGTGTCAGGCTGCGGTCGGAGCAGGAATCTGCATCATCGTGTTTAAGAGCTGGCATTACTATCCCGGCTCCCACGGTCTGGGAGTGAGGACTGATCACACCTTACCCCAGCGTCCAGGCTCCAGCCCCAGAGTCGGAAAGGAAAGTTCCCCTTCCCTTCCTCCATGCTGTGGGGCCATGCTTTGGGGTCACTGCCGCCTCAGAACCCAGCCCTCCCCCAATCCCAACAAACCTGCATTTCCCAAGGAGCAGGTTTTTGGGCAATTAGGAACACAGGCCTCAGAGTGTGCAGCCCCGGTTTCCAAACTTCTCTGGCCCCCACTTGTGTTATCTGTAATACGGGGTAACAGCAGCAGCCCCTGCTTCCTAGGGAGTCACTGTTTTGTACTCTGTAAGCTTTCTCCCATCACACTGGAAATATTTACGGCTCAAAATAGATTTCTTACCCATATCAACATTTCCCTGTGAATTACAAATCACCTTGACACATTTTTAAAATTAAAAAAAGAAGCCATCCTAGCTGTAAAATGTTCGAAAAGTCCTCAGCTTTCTGGGGTGGGTGGTCGCCTTGGCAACCAGCCTGTAGGTTCAGAGCATCAGAGGAAGGTGAGGGCGAGGCTGGTGGGCAGGGCCAGGAAGGGGGCTCAGGAGATGGATTCCACCACCAGCCGGGTCCCTGCCAAGTCCCCTCCCAGCCTCGGTCCCCTCCCTGGTAAGAGGCAGGGCACACACTGCATTCTGAGAGGCTGGGGAACTAACAGCGGCGCCCGGTGGGGGCTCCCACAGGGAGCAGGCTCAAGGTGGGCTTCACAATGCTCCCAACACCCACCCTGGGCTCTGGTCACTGCAGTCGAGCAGCCCGACCCCTGGGTCCCTCAGCGTGTCATCTGTAACATGGAGACACAGCACCCACTCCAGAGGCAAGTGCGCATCCAGGGGCTCCACATCGGCACTGGTGACTGTTAATGATACTATTTTTATTAGTGACATTTACAGCAGCAGAAAGATAAGATTCCTATCTGTTACATAAAGACATCTGCATTTGTGGGTGTTCATCATTGCCGGCAAAGAGAAGCTCCAGTTTGGTTCATCTGAGGGCATTTAAACAAGCATGATGGTGGTGATGCGGTCCAGGTTCCATGGAGCACGAGGGGAGGGGACGGGGTCTTGCTCTCACGGGGTCTGGGGCCTAGAGGGTGTCCACTGCCCATCCTGCACAGCACGTCACCGAGAGATGCAGCAGCTTGCAGTGGCAACAGTGACCAAGCTTCTCCCGGCTTCTGTGGATCAGGATGAGGAGCGCATTGATCAGGTGCTGTGTGCGGCTCTGGGCCAGGTCTGCCCAGCTGGAGGGCCTTCCCCGGAGATGGCACGCACATGCTGGCCCGGGCACTGCCTGCTCACAGGAAGCCCAGCTCCCTCCCACCCAGACCTGCCAGAGGCTGCGGAGCAACAGGCAGCGCAGCTGTCGGCTCCCTGCAAGAGTGACCCACAGAGCAAGGGGGAGCCGGCATATCTACCGTCACCCGGTCTTGGGAGTAACATGGTGTCATCTCTGCAGGGTCTTCTGGCCATGCGGTTGATGAATTTACATCCATTGTGGGAACTGACAAAGGCATGGATACCAGAGGGGGATTATGGGTGGCTCTTCCGAGTTAGGTCGACAATGTTCCACAAAAGTCCCATGTGTTGAGAGGTGGAGCTTTGGAGGTAGCTGGGTAATGGGGGAATCCATTGACGAGCCATGTGGCTTTCCCTGGTTGGGGAAGGCGTGTCACTCCCTGCCTCCTCCTTCCGCCCTCTTCTTCCTGGCTGCCATGACATGAACCGCTTTCCTCTGCCAGGCTCTTCCCCAGTGAGCCAAGCATGGAATGGATCCCCCAAACTGTGAGCCAGATTAAACCCCTCCTCTGTTAAGCTGTTGGTGTCAGGTGCTGCGTCTCAGCAGTGAGAAAGTCGACTGGTACAGGGGCCATCATGGAAACCAGCTATGGTGTCTATAATCACAGAATGCTGCGGGCTGGGATGTGGCGAGCTTAAGTGTGTGCACATCAGCACGCTAACAGAAGGGAAATGGAAAGGAAGGAGGCAGACTAAACCAGGGAGATGTCTAAAAAAGAATGACACAGGAAGTATTAGCATCCACAAAGGCACAGAGATATGAACAACTTTGTGTGTGTGTGTGTGCGTGCGCGTGTGTGCCTGTGTGTCTGTGTAAAGTAACCACATAACAACAGGCTTCGTGGGAAAGCTTGGAGTTGGAAATGACCGAGGAGTGTGGGAAGACAGGCAAGGGCTGAGGGCTTGGGAATGCCCTGGGCTGTGCTGAAGACAGCCAGACCGTATCCCAGAGCCAGCAGTAAATCAAAGGGTTCTCATTAGCCAAGCACTGCGGCTGGATCTGAGTCGGGAACATACCCAGTGCCATGGAGGGAAGACTAGAAGAGGCACCTTGGAGGCCAGCAGCAATGCAGGCACCTTGGAGGAAGCCAGCAGCAATGCAGACTCCTGCAGCCTCACCGAGGAGCCGAGTCCCAGGGTGGGTGGGGCCCTGCAATCTGTGTTTCTGACCAGCAACCTGGCAACTCAAATTGTAGTCTAAGAAATGTGAAGGCAGGAGACACAGAAAACAGCGTTTCTCCAGGTGTTCTTGGCCGAGTCCTTTATACTGGATTAATAAGCACTTCACTCTCCAGAAAGGATCCCAGTGTCAGCCCTGAACCCCCGACTGCGAGCTACGCAGGGAAGGGGACCTTCCTTAAAGCTTAAAGAAGGAAAGTGCTGATGTAAGATGAGGAGTTCCTTAGCTCTATTTATCATAAGTAATTTATAAGAAAGTTTCCTGGCTGCACACTTTTTAAACTTACCAACCCTGTTCCAATACAGAGCGCTGGGTCAGCCTTGGCGGCACCCTTAGTAACGGTCCCAACAGGGCTGGTCAGGTCGCCCCCGTCTTCCTGTATCAGCAACGAGGAAGGAAACTTTGCAAGAGTGTTAGAGCTGGTCTTCCTGGGAGACCGCAATCTCCACAAAGCCTCAACAAACAGGACCTATAACTCTGGCCAATGTAAGATTTGCGAGCTTCCGGCTGAAATACCCATTATTCAGAAAGCCACTCAGAAACCACCTACAAACAGAAGTCATCCTACAAGGACCAAGTAGCAGGAATTCAGAGAAATGTGGTCCCCTCTTGGTGGCATGAAGCCCTGCCCTGCTGTTGCCAGGCAAGAGGTGTCCGCTTCTTGGCCTGGACACACCTGAGCGGCTGGCCACTGGGGTGCTCACGGTCACCGAGCACCGCCCAGCCTGTGTGTTTTGAAACGGAGCCTTTCAAAGCTGTGGGAGCTCTGAGTTGTGAACTGGGCTGCTACAGTGGTTTAATTTCCTGAAATACAGCTGCCTCCTTGACTAACAGATTTTTCAATGCATTGAGGAGAAAATTGCATTAGCTCCTGCGTAGCCTGGACCTAATATTTTTAGAAGCTGCAATTCTTACTACAGAACACAGTGTGTGTTTATGTGCGTGTACTTCGCAGCGTGGGACACACACAGAGCGCTCAGTGATGGATTTGAGAATGTGAGACCGTCCAGCTACACGAGCAGTGCTCCCAAATGGGGACAAAGCAGAGAGCGTTCCTCACTCATGCGGTCAACAAACACATAAGCGCTTCGGAGTCTGTGGCGCTGGGCCTCCGACTGCTTTGAGGGAGTAACGACACATCTGGGGAGACGCAGGAAATTCCATGAAGCACTGTCACGTGCAGAAGATAAGGGTTTATCTCGGTGAGGGCGGGGGCGTGGGGCGCAGGATGACCACACCCGGTGGCTCTGGTGATGCTGTTCTGCATCTGAGTGAGAGGCTGTGGTGCTGACCTGAGCATGCGGGGACCTCTTTATCGGCAGTCTTCATCTGTGTGTGCGCATCTACCTGTGAAAACCTCACCTGTGACTGGGACCACGGTAGGGCCTGGCAGAAGAAAACTGAGGACTTTGGCCCCCAAACTGTAACTCAGCTCCTTCTGTGTGTATGTGTACACACACGCATGCACCTCACACACATAGCATGTGTATATTATTTAGACACACTCAGCTCGTGCTGAGAGTGCTCGTGGAGATAATTATTGTCCTAGAAAATGCAAGGAAAAAAAGCCCAGGCTTGGCTTCCTGTTACCATAAACTTAGCTACTGCACACATTTGTAACAGGTCAATAACATACCATCGCTGTCCCAGTGTTCAGTATTCAAATCCCATGGCACTGAAGGAGCAGATTAGGAGAAAAAGGTCTCAAAGGCTTGTGCAGGGTGTGGCAGTAGTTCTACGAAGGTGAGCAAGGCTGCTCAACTGGCACACAGGGCCCTGAGCCGGCACAGAGCCGAGCCCAAGCGGGGATTCCAGAGCAGCACCCGCACCCACCGGTCCTGGGTGCACTGGAAGGCAGCTGAACAGAAAGCACAGACCCCTGCAGGCTGGGGCACCGGCTCACACACTCTCCCTGCTCCCTTTCCACTCTGCCACGGCTGCCCAGGGGACCCTGCAAAGAGCCGGGCAGGGCAGCAATTAAGGAGGCGCCACTCTGTGCCGTGCTAATGAGGCGCACGGCGCTCTGGCTCCAGGGCTCGGCAGCGCTTTGTAGGTGAAGCGCTCGCCAGGGCCACCTCTGTTCACAGCAGAGATCCACCTGGAGGTGAATGAGCTCTGAGCACACAGGAGGGCGGCTCACAGGCAGGAGGAGGCCCGGGAGGATGAACCAGAAGTACTACTTAATTAATTTCTGATTGGTTTAAAATTATTTCCTTTTACAAAACCCGGAAGGCGAAGCACAAGGTCCCCCCGCACCCCTGCTCCCAGCAACCTGCAGCCGAGACAGCCTCTTCACCGCCGCTCTCAAAGACAGCGCCTTCACCGGCCTCTCACAAGACATCCAGCGAACACTAATCACAGCCCTCCTGGTAGTTTCCAGTACCCTAACCTTGACCTTGAAGCCTCACTTCAGTCTACTTAAGACTTCAGTTACATTGACATTCACCCTGGGCAACAGGCCCTTACCATTTACAGGATGGTCGTCAAGGAAACCAGAGGTTGAGGATAGCTGTCTAACTGCCCAGATTTAAACTTTCTGCAATCTGAGGACGCAGAAGGGAAGAGAACGTCCACCTCACAGTGCTAAGAAGGGTGGTGCGGGGAGCAGACTGTTCCCTTCCCTCCCCTTCCTCTTGGGGGTGTGGCGCCTGAGCAAAGGGATGTCTGATGCTCTCCACTGCGCTTAAGTTACCTAACCCTGAAAGTGACTTTTCGTGTAACACTCAGCGTGCTTGCCAGATTCTGCACCAGACACTAAGCAAAGCAGAGCCATCGTGGCATATTTCTGTTGCTTGGGAGATCTCAGTCAAAAGGGAGACGATATTACTATTATATTTATGATAACAATAACAGCACATTTGTTGAATGCTTGCTACGTAGCAGACATACTAAAGCTATGTGCAAATTTTATCTTCCCATTCCTATAATAACCCTAGGTAGTAGCTATCAAGAAAATCACACATTTGTAAAGAATTTTAGGAGGATTGATAATCAGATTTGCCTCATTCCAAAAATCTTAATCCTCTGGAAATTGATTTAAATAAGATTTCCAGATGATGATTAGGTAGTAAAAGCTGCATGTAAATTCTTACTAAAATTCTTGAGGTGGAGCGAAAATCCAATAGGAAATAGAAGCAGAAGAGATGAAGGTGACTGTGGAGCTTGCGTCTTAGCATAAATGAGTATTTTCAATATAGCTAAGGAAGGGTCATGGCCCTTCTCCACACACACGGCCCCCACCCCCACAGGCGGCAAGAGGCCAGTAACATCCATTAAGGAAGGCTAACGTCAAAACAAAAAATGAAGGAGAAAACATGCCCAGACAGGGAAGGCGGCAGCTTTTCCGCTGACTGCGCCAGGTGTACACACCAGTGAGTAACTTCTGTTCCCAGGGCAGGGTCCTCTGGGGTCAGTTCTGCTCCGACACTGGCGAGGACCAGCGGGAGCCCAGCCCAGCTGTGGCTGCAGCCTGGAATCACATGCACGCCCAGGCAGGAGCTGCATCATGGCTGTCTTGGTTTGATGATCACAGGCGGGGCTGGTGCGTGAGCAAGGGTTATCTCTGGCATGTTCTTGGGGTGTTACTTTGTGTCCCTAACACCTACCAAGGGATTCTTCTGTGCTGTCAAAGCTGAGCTCCACTACAGCGAGGAAGTGAATCCTAATGGGAAAGTAAGGTCCGAGTGAGTGGCAAAGCGTGGTAACTTTGGTTCCTTTTTTACTACTGCTTGCAAAAACCTCACCAAGGTCCCACATCATATACTTTTAACCACCCCCCAGGAATGTTCCAGCCTCTATGAGCTGGAAGCAGATGGAAGGAGGAAATGAACGGTGGCCTTGGGTTGAAAGCACCGGTTGGCTAGGGTGTGGTCCATTCCCTTCTCTGAATCTCAGGTCCTGGTTCTGAACAACAGAGACCGAGCCACCAGCTGGTTCTGCCAGAGACAAATGGGCATCCTGAGCAGAGAGGTACCTAGCACAGGGTGTCACAGAGTTGGCACTCGGCGCTGTGGGCTGATTCTGAGCCTCGGCAGGAGTGTGACATTATGGGACAAGTGGAGTAAAGCCAGGCCCTCGCCATGTCTGCCAGCCCCGTGTTTCCCAGGCTCCGGTGACAATGGACGGAGGGCAGAGCTTCCATCTTGTGTCTGTGTAACGTCAGGCAGGAGCAGCTCTGGGACGCCGAGTACATAAAGTAATAACAGCATATTAATAATAACAGGGGGTGGGAGAGCCGAGTTTCAGCAGCGTATTTTGCCTGTGAATAAGATGTTGATCACTGCTTGCCATTTTCTCTTCAAACATATTATTTAGCCAGTAGTGAGCAGATTTAAACCCCACTGGGGTTCTTGAATGCAGCCCGGCTGAGTGGTTAAATCCAATGAAAATATCCCGGTTGGATGGGTTTTTAGCCAAGGGAGTTGAGTATACAAGAGGATATTTATCAGGTCAGCATGGGAAGATGTCCATCTATGGAAACACAGTCAGAAGGGTGAAGTCGCTAACAGTGTCGAGGGAACACGTGCAGCACAGTTCACTTGTAGCAGTTTCCCATCTTCATTTCACCAATTCTTGAAAGATTCCCATGAACTAGGCGGTAAGAGAACCACAGCTCCCTCTTATGCACAGGATAGTAGGACTTGAAAACATCATAGTCCCAAATTGTACAGCTAGTAAATGGTGAGTTAAAAGGTACGCTCTGACCTTCAGAAAAACCCCTTTTTAGGGCCAAGGGCCTCTGATACTGCCAGTCCTTCAAGTTTTGGCTTTCTCATGGAAAACAAGTAGGACGAACAGGCTTTGAAACACTGTCCATTATTATTAAGCAAAGAAATCCACATTTTGATACCTATGTGCACCTCTTCCCAGAATCAAGTCGGTGCATCGTACCAGGGCAAATGAAAACATGGGTTTTTCTCTGTTCAATTGTCTCTGCTGGAAATAACCCTGGCTTGCTTCCCAAGCCTCCACTAGAAACCAAGAAAACCCGGCCATGGGTGTCCCCACTAGGGTAAGATCTATAACCGGGCATCACCATGGAGGCCACAGGTGTGTGTCTAGTGCCACCGACGTCTTACCTTTCATGTGCATGGGAGGAGAAACACGTTAAGTCCATTTTCTGCTCTCTGATTTTAGTGGCTGGAATTTTCCTTTGTATCACCTTCAAAAGTAGCCAGGCCAGCAGACTCACCCCTAGTGTCGTGAGACTGTAAGGCAGGGACGACGTTGCCCCCCGGGACTTTTGAGACTGCTTGGAGCCCTGTTTAGTGTCGCAACCTGAGGTGGGGGGCCTGGTGGAGGCTGGGAAGCCGCTGGACGTCTCAGACAGGATGGCTCTCACGCAGCCTTCCGGCCCAAACACCACAGTGCCAGGGCTGTGGCGCCTGCCCGTGAGTTTGCTGAGAACCTGTGCTTGGGCGTGTGATGAGCGGGGTGTGATGGACGAGCAGTGCTTTGACTTGACCCTGGGGTGAGGCCGTAAGTGTAGCCTCCCCTTTGACCTAATGGAAGACTGTGTGACCCAGAGGAAAAGAACGAGCCAGACAGAGGAGGCAGGAGGCAGGCTCCGCTGTCCTCAGCATCTTGACTTAAAGGCAGAAAAGTGAACCCTTCTAACCCGCCACATGGGAGACCTGCACGGGACAACACATGAAAGGATAGAATGGATGAGAAAGCAAGACCGTCTCTAAGTGGTTCTGGATGGTGGGACGAGCGAGGCCCAGCCCCTCCAGGGACAGATCCATCTTCCCTGCTGAGCTCGTCGCACA